GTCGTGTTTCTATCATACATTACAAGTTTATGTTGCGTAAATACTGTACCTCTTCTGTGGACTTTGATGTCTTAATAAAAATAATCGAAATATGTTAATACCTAAACCGAAACAAAAACAAATATTGTATTTGCAAACAATTGTCCATGAGAAGAATAGTTACAATCATAGTTAACAAATATTATAAAACTAGAAGGTAGTTAAGCAAATCATGACATTTTCAAAAGAAATGAGGAAGTTACCAAATGGATATTCAAACTCACGAGACAAACAACAACATACCAATAGATAGAAAGCGAGAGACCGATCATCACAAACACCACCACAAACCAGGGGTGACCCGGAAGGGTAAGCAGATCCTGCTCCACATTTTTCATAGTCGTGTTTCTAATTTAAGTACAACATACATGTATTTGTTTTTATTGTTTATAATTAACATTTGATATGTACAAATTTTCAAATTAGAATCATGTAACTCCACCCTACCCATTTTGACTACACTGTCCAGAGCAACACCTCCTCCCCTCCTATTGGATCGATCTTAATGTTCTTTGGCAAAGTTTTAGAAATATGACTGAATGCCTAATGTACCAATCAAGTGGTTTTGTTTTGTTTTTATAAAGATTATATTTGTTTTGCCATTGTTCTCAATTCTGTTAACCCAATCCAGACCAACACCCCAATGTATTAAAGATCTGTCATCAACATTCATGAAGTCTCTGGTAGAGAGTTGTAAGTCAGGAGCCTGTAGTTCAGTCTTGTCGTTGGTTAATGTCTGTCATATTTGTTTTTCGTATATTGTTTTGTTATAAATTAGGCCGTTGATTTTCTCAATTGAATTGTTTCATATTTTTTATGTCGGGGCCTTTTATAGCCGACTATACGGTATGGGTTTTTTTCTCATTGTTGAAGGCCGTACGATTGCCTATAATTGCTTACATTCACTTCATTTGAACTTGGTGGATGGTTGTCTCATTGACAGTCATACCACATCTCCTTATTTTTATATTGTAAAGCGATCTTGATTTCTTTGCCTGTTAAATATTCATCATATGTAAAACAAGCGCCATTTTCATTCAAGGAGTAGTTTTAGGTGTGAGTAGAACCACATTTACATTAAAACGTGTTAAGTACCAATCGTGTTACGCTCGTAAATGCTTAGTTGATGCAAAGAGTTCTTACTAAAGGACAAAAAATTAAGATGTTTCGAGTTACTCGAATTGATAAGTTTATGATAAGGGGATGCAAAGAATTCCCTTAAATTCGTAAGAAATTTAATGTTGTAAGGGTTGTCAATCATTCTAAGAATGATATAAGATTGCTTTTCGTTACACTCTTAGTCACTAAACAGTCTTAAAATGATCTTAAGTGCCAAGAGAGCTTCTTGTTACCGGCCCCTGGCAGGACAATCAAGTCAAAAGGGATGGGATGGGGGATAATATTCTTTTATTTAACATATTTATACATATCAAATTATGGCATGGTATTGGTTGCAAAAATTTGATATTTTTCATTTAAATGCAATATTTCTTATTTAATTGATATATTTCTTCATTTAAATGCAATATTTTTTTATTTGAATTGTATATTTTTTCATTTAAATGCAATATCTTTTATTCAGATGGTATAATTTTTCATTCAAATGGTATAATTTTTCATTCAAATGGTATAATTTTCGTTCAAATACAATATTTTTTATTCAATTGGTATAAATTTGTCATTTGAATGCAATATTTTTTATTCAATTGGTGTAGTAGTTTTTTTATTTATTATGCAATAATTGCATTATGGGAAATTCTTTGACGTCATAAGGTCAAATTTGCAACACCGTTTGTTATTGGTCGGTAATTGTTTGGATTTCTTCCCTTTCTTTCTAAACTTGAGTGACCAAGAATTAAAAAACGCGTCAGAATATCGCCCCTCTAACTAAATTTGGCGTTCGTGCGAGTTCGTGTACAGGCTGTTAATGCCAATAATGGCCAGGACGAGCAAAAAATGCGAGTGACAAGCAATAATAATTAATTTGACACACAACTTGTTCATGGATAGAAACAGATGCCTGCGTGCATGGCAAAAACACCTCCAATGAAAACCTTTTCTGAAGAAACTCTCCTACAATCTACACATTGAAATAAAAAAAAATACATAGCTAGCCCCCCCCCCCCCCACCCCCCCCCCCCCCCCCCCCACCTTCTAAGTCCAAATACATGTTATCATGACGTTCTTTAGTGCTATATCATTTTTTACTTTTCTTGATCCTCAGAGACGTTGCAGCAGAGACATATAATACAATCTCTGGTTGCTGGAAGGCACACATGAAAAAAGAATAAAAAGCATCCAGGACGTTACAATTATTTGGGCTAAGCACCTTCTTTTTAGCTCACCGGGGCCCGTAGGGCCCCATGTGAGCTTATGCCATCACTTGGCGTCCGTCGTCGTTCGTCGTCTGTCGTCGTCTGTCGTCATCGTCTGTCGTCGTCTGTCGTCGTCAACTATTTCAAAAATCTTCTCCTCTAAAACTACTGGGCCAAATACCTTCAAACTTTATCTGAATGTTTCTTAGGGTATCTAGTTTATAAATTATATCCGAAGTTTTGATCCATTGACAAACATGGCCGCCATGGCTAAAAATAGAACATAGGGGTAAAATGCAGTTTTTGGCTAATATTTCAAAAACTAAAGCTTTTAGAGCAAATTTGACATGGAGTAAAATTGTTCAATTTGTCAAGATCTATCAGCTCTGAAATTTTCAGACGAATAGAACAACCCATTGTTGGGTTGCTGCCACCGAATTAGTAGTTTAACAAAATTTTGCAGTTTTTTGTTATTATTTTGAATATTATTATAGATATATATAAACTGTAAGCAGCAATAATGTTCAGCAAAGTAAGATCTACAAAAAAGTTAATATGACCAAAATTGTCAATTGACCCCTTAAGGAGTTATTGCCCTTTAAAGATAATTTTACACAATTTGTTCATCAAGTTTGCTAACATTTAAAAGTCTTCTTCTCTGAAACTACTGGGCCAATTACCTTCAAACTTTCCCTAAATGTTTCTTAGGGTATTTAGTTTATAAATTGTATCCGAAGTTTTGATCCATCGACAAACATGGCCGCCATGGCTAAAAATAGAACATAGGGGTAAAATGCAGTTTTTGGCTTATATCTCAAAAACTAAAGCTTTTAGAGCAAATCTGACATGAAATAAAATTGGTCAATTGGTCAAGATCTATCAGCTCTGAAATTTTCAGACGAATCGAACAACCCATTGTTGGGTTGCTGCCACCGAATTGGTAGTTTTAACAAAATTTTGCAGTTTTTTGTTATTATTTTGAATATTATTATAGATATATATAAACTGTAAGCAGCAATAATGTTCAGCAAAGTAAGATCTACAAAAAAGTTAATATGACCAAAATTGTCAATTGTCCCCTTAAGGAGTTATTGCCCTTTAAAGACAATTTTACACAATTTGTTCATCAAGTTTGCTAACATTTAAAAATCTTCTCCTCTGAAATACAGGTGAGCGATTCAGGCTCTTGAGAGCCTCTTGTTTACTACATGTAGAAAAAAAAATCACCTAATTACGACAGCAGAACCAGAAACCCTCAAGTAGAAACATAAGCTGTTATACTCCGGAACTAATTCTTTAATAAAGACAATTCAGGATAAATTGGAACCAGTTACTTACCCATGTTACAACAATAGTCCTATGACATAGGGCTTCACTATATGAGGCGTGAACTTCATATTTAATACTATCTATAATATGTGCTCTCATGTCTTATGCTGCAAATCATTTTACATTTAGGATTCGTTGCTGACCATAACTGCATTTTTTATCAATTAATAGTCCCATTACTGACACCTGGTGAAAAAAGGGGGGTCATTATTCCTTGACTCTTCAAAACCTTGGATTTATTTACTAAACTCATTGTAAAAATTGTGGAAAGTCTTTCATTCAGAAGGAAAAACAAGGAAAAATCAACCAAACCTGATCTTGATATTGAAAGCTAATGTTCCTGTAGTCCAAAATGAAATTTTCAAGTATTTTCTATTAAAGTCATACTTTACAGTCAGTATAAATTGAGCTGTGAAAATTTCAATATAAGTCGCATTATGCTCAGATAGGATTGTTTTTACTACAAATTGACCAAGGATTAAGAATAAAGCAAAACAAAAGATTTCTAATCAACTTTTTGTGCTCTTTTGGTGTCAGACCACCAATTACTCCCTCCAATTTAGAACATATGTGAAAGTAGGCCTACTCGGACAAAAAATTGTGCATTTGATGTCATTGTTTACTGAAACTAGCCAACAGATTTGCAGAAATGAAACTTTTGGTGAAAGAGAAATATATTAAGACTATTTTGAGCCAAAATTTACTTGTTTATGAGTTTGCATTCAACATTGAGGATTAATGCGCTCCATAGTATACTAATTTAAGATTTCCAGAAAACCAGGGGTTATTTTTAGTGGTACCTCTATTCGGGAGATCTCTTCTTTCTTATATGATTTTAAAGGTATGTTGAAAATTGGCACGTACAAAGGTGATACCTGTACAATTCAGGATATACCTGGTTTCTATGAAGTTAAACTTAACGTAAAATATTTAGAAAGCTGTGAAAATTGCAAAATTTGGTTGAACAGATAGGGATTTTTAATTGGTGGTCTGACACCTTTAAAGCGAAAAGCGGTGAAACCCCAAAATCTGAAAACAATTGATTTTTTTGTCTTAACTGACCATTTGAAATGATAGTAGCCACATTTCAATCTTTTTATGGCAAAAAGTCACTTATTGCAAATTTAGAACCTTAAACCTGAGTTTGTGCTATTTTTAGCTTTTCCCACCCTGACAATATGCTTTCATATAAAAAAATGTCCTAAATTGTTATGAATTTACAGTAAGTTGTTTCTGTGGTACTAGACATTAAAACATAGGTTGTTTACTTCCCAAAAAAAAACTTGTCGTCATGAAGATTTAATGATTTTATTTGAATTTTATCCCTTATATCATTGCATCATACCATGTATTTGACAGATAATATAGCCTAATGTAAACAGTGCATAAACTCACCACAATCCCATTTATTGTCTCAAATGAAAGTTTTCTACCTTTAATTTTATTGACTGATAGTAAATAAAGCAGTTTAATGACCATAATTGCACTTTTTATCAATTAATAGTCCCATTACTGACACCTGGTGAAAAAAGGGGGGTCATTATTCCTTGACTCTTCAAAACCTTGGATTTTTTTACTAAACTCATTGTAAAAATTGTGGAAAGTCTTTCAAGCAGTAGGAAAAACAAGGAAAAATCAACCAAACCTGATCTTGATATTGAAAGTTAATGTTCCTGTAGTCCAAAATGAAATTTTCAAGTATTTTCTATTAAAGTCATACTTTACAGTCAGTATAAATTGAGCTGTGAAAATTGCAATATAAGTCGCATTATGCTCAGATAGGATTGTTTTTACTACAAATTGACCAAGGATTAAGAATAAAGCAAAACAAAAGATTTCTAATAAACTTTTTGTGCTCAACGCAAGCGGAAGAATATCTCGAGAACGTTTTGCAACAAAAGCGGGAAATATGAATGCCTACTCAAATCCAATCTATTTGAAAAACGAATTATTACAGAAGAGTGTCCACCGTGCACTTGCACTGCACTATCATTAGAATAGAAGAATAGAATGATATATAAATGGATGAAAATTTGCCTGTGGAGGTATTTAGATTATCTGCTATATATATACATGATATAACTGGTATACAAATATTAATATAATATATAACAACAAACCAGAGTATACTGATAACAAATGATTATATCATTACAATATAATAATTATTACGGTGAGGTTTAATTCCCTGTCATTTATTCATCATCCACACAAGAACTTGTCTCAGAAAAAAAACATATCTATGTACCTTACCTAACTTTCAGGTATAGAGATATTATTTTTTTTTCTGAGACAAGTGCTTGTGACCATCCACCAGAACTTGCGGTCATCCGATGTTCAGTACTTCAGTACTTTGATTAGTTTTATGTAGATATTAGGATGCTACCTAAATAACGCATACTGATGTATAAGTTTGTGTATTAAGTTATTATTTCAATTCGCCACAAACATTTTATTTTCCATCAAAGTTAAGTCTACTTTATATATTCAATGTTCTTTATAAATAATTGAGCTTACAATATCTGTTTTCTTCTCAACTGGTATTGTAAGACATGATTAGGAAGCAACATCCTCTAAAGAATTTAAATTTCCAGTTCTCAATTTTTGTTGTAAACTCTAACGGAACCCTTTTTGTTTGTGATTACCATTAATTTTGAAGTTTTATCAAAAGCTAGTGAGTAGGGATAGTCTAAGTTACTTAATATTTCCCGGCCTGTTTGTCCATCAGGAGAGATTGCAAAGCAGTTATTTGAAATTTCACCTACTGCTAATACAAAACCATTTTCGTCTACGGCCACATCTTTTGGAGATTGTAACTTCGAATCCTGAAACTGCCAAGTAAGATCGCCATCGTTGTTAAAGCATAATACTCTATGGCTGGACGAACTTGATGAAAATATGCTATCCTCTCCTGTACAACAATGTGTCGAGCCAATTGCCTTCAACCTGGCTTTCACTTCCCCAGAAAGAGTAGTCAATAAGAAATATCCAGATATTCTTATAGTCAGTGTGTCATTTCGAAAACTTATACCGTAACATGGATCAAATGTCGAGAACGTCGACACAATTTTACCAGTTATTAGTTCAACAAGTACGACTTTACTGGAGGACTGACAAGTCACACCAACATTTGAATTATTAATATACACAACAGTTCGGGGTGAAAACGATAAAGGTATTTCACGTTGAAAAGTACTGTCACTGTCACATATAATTAATCGATTGTTGCAGCTATCGGAAAATACCAACAGTCCTTCTGGCAATATGGTGCAGCCTAGTATGAGCATACCGTTTTCTCCTTGTGATAACTGAAAACTTGCAATTTCAGAAAATTGTATATTCGACAATTCATTAACAGATGGTAATAAAATTTGTGCTTGTTCCTTCTTTCTCACACCCAATTCTAAGTCATTACGTTTTCTGGACTGTGAAATTTCACCAAAAGATTCGCTGCCTTCAGATATTGCTCTCGTAGTAGGAGCTATGTCAAGCACCAGATCAACTTCATCCATTGCTTTGTTCGTTTGTAGTGTTTCTAAATATGAAAGTTCTTCTTCTACTTTAAGTTCTAACGGTTTCAGTCCCAAGAAGACTTGCAGATCAGTTGCGATATTAATGGCCGTTTTCAGTTCCTCCTGCAGAGTGCTAATGTGGCTTTTATGGACGTCTAAATCATGTACAAGATTATCCAAATCCAAACCAACTTCTTCTACGTTCGCTGCCATCGTATCTTTCAAACGTTTTACCATTTCATCCAATTTGTCGTTTAGCAATTTGCGGACACTTTGAATTTCTTCAATAAATGCCAATTTCTGTGCATTTATTCTAGTTTTGTTCTCCAGTCTGTTTTGAATTAAAGAATCAAAATTGGTCATTATACACTTCAAATCGTTTTCAAAATCTTCTAGCACTGGAGAGGTCTTTACGTTTTTTATAACATCTTGTATTGTGTCCAGCTTTTCACATTGACAATGTGATTCTTTTAAACACACAATACAACAACACTGTCGATGACTACAACAATACAATTCACATCTCTGGTCATGGTCCGTGCAGTAGACACTGGTGTCTTTGATAAATGACGGTAATTTGTCGAACTCCGTTAGTGATATAGTTTTGTGGAATTTCGCAATTTTTGAAGCATCGTGATGGTCCTTACATTCCGAGCAAAGAGCTTCGTCGCAATCTGGACACCATGCAACTGCAGCGGTTGAAATATGGCGATGTTCACAATTATCACACAATCGGAGTGATGAAGATTCCATTAGTAATTATTTTCTGAAATGTTGAGAAAGAAAAAGGAATAAGTTAAACATAATCTGGGACCAATATATTATGCCCCAGACATACTACATAATTTGGTTATAATTTCTTGAATCCTGTCCAATCTTTATGCGAAGCCTGGAAACAGGATTTGTATTTCAACTAGATTGGAGTCCCAACCGATGGGTTTCACCTAGCTACTTTTGAATAATATAGTGAAATTTTAGTCTTTTATCTTCGAACAACCAGTTCATATTATGGAGATACGTGCCTATTGTTGAAAGGGTCGTATGTTGATTTTCTTGTATCGTTGGGTTGTTTTCCCGCTAACGTTTACCTAAAATCTCCTTTTATTTATATAAAGGGATTATACACAGTGCATTCAACGCAGTACCTTTACCATTAAACATGGTGATGAACTAAAAAAAATGCTCTCCATTTAGCCTTATACGAAGTACGTTTTCATTTGGTTTATTTTTATAATACAATGTACAAAAGTTATTAGACAATGGACTCTTTATAATATACAGTCGATTTATGAAGAGGCATATTGGAAATTTTCCCACATAGGGCAGAGGCTACTGTGTTGAGGTCATATGAACCCTTCCGGAAGGACATGTGTGTCACCTTACACTAATTCAATACACTAGATATAGTTGACCTATTGCTTATAATATCTGAGAAACTGAAATAATCACAAAAACTTAGTGTTGACCAAGGAAACATGACAGGGTTGTAAATTAGAACGTGTTTAATTGGAGGCATAAGAATAGGCGGGGGGTAAACAAAAGAAATGGAACTTTTTATTAGAGACTGTAAAAAAGGCCAAGTTGGTATATTTGAATTGTTTACATCTGTTTCTATGGGCTTTAAAAGTTTAATGTAGGTGCATAATTTAAGATTTTATGCATCTTATATATGTGTTTTTACCTAGATTATAGTATGCAGCTTCGAGATATTTGTTAATTTCTAAAAAAAAAAAATTAACAAAACAGTCGATTGTGGTAGGTGTAAATACATGTGAATCTTTTTTGTGCATAAGCATAACTTCCGCCGATAAAAATTCCACAGAAAGATAAAAGATTGATCTTTTTAAAGCATTTATTTGCATATCTGCCCCCGGCGACAGTTTTTTTTGGGGAAAAATCCTAAAAATGGGCAATAATTTCATCGAAAGGGGAAAGTCGAGTACACCCTTTGTCATGAAAATGTATAAAGCAAAACATATTTGTTACATCATCTCGCTTCAAATTCTATTATCTTTATATATTTAGGCTACAGGTCGATATACTAGCATTTAAAACTCACAGTACTAAAAATGAAAGATATGGGTCAAATGAAATACTTTTCTAATGAGTCATAACAACAGAATTGGTGTGTTTGAATACAATTTTTTTTACTGAAAATCCTAGCCGACAGACTTTATAAGTGGATCCTAAAAATACATAACTTTAAAACAAATCCATTTTTTGGGGTGTATTATCTAGGGTAGTTCGTCTTCAACCTCTGAACATATTTAGTCTGCCCTTCCACGAAATATTTAATTCGATTTTTTTTGTGTTTTTGAACTTTCGAAAATTCCCCCTGACAACCGATCAGACAGTAGTTTTAAGTGGACTAAAGGCCTAAAAGTACATTATACGATGCTTAATAGCTAGTAGATACATTTGTCTTTTAAAATACAACTGGCATATAAGGATCTTTATGATGCTATGTGGATACATTTATCGGTTTTCAAGAGCTTAATTGACAGCGCGTCATCCCTACATTGGCTTCTATTTGTTCAATATAAAAAAAAAAAGTAAAAGTACGCTCTACATAATTGATAATTTTAATTACTGATATCAAATTCATTTTTTATTACTTGGCCTTTCAATTAAGTTTGGTAAATATATTATGGGCATTGTACAGTTTGTTATCATTATTATCATGATTCGTCAAAGTCGTAATTTCCATCATAATTGCGATAGTACTGCTCTATTAAATTTTCACGTATTCCCACAGATGTAGCTAGTGCTCTCGCTTGCTGTTGCACGAGCTTACACAAGATCACTGTTTCAGAATGAAGTTCTATGGACAACGGTCGTATCTTTGTATATGACTAGTTACCACTACAACAGATATTCTTTCAAAATTTCGTCGACGACTAGGTAGTTGGGTGGTTTTTCGGATTTTTATGTGTTTTCCGTATATATATATACATATTTCAGTGGCGGATTCAGCCAATTATAAAAGTGGGGAGGGGGGTTCCAACTATATGTCCCCATTCAAATGCATTGATCGTCAAAAAAAGGGGGTTCCAATAGAGAAATAGTTGGGTGGTTTTTCGGATATTTATGTGTTTTCCGTATATATAAAATTGAGAATGGAAATGGGGAATGTGTCAAAGAGACAACAACTCGACCATAGAGCAGACAACAGCCGAAGGCCACCAATGGGTCTTCAATGCAGCGAGAAACTCCCACACCCGGAGGCGTCCTTCAGCTGGCCCCTAAACAAATATGTATACTAGTTCAGTGATAATGGACGTCTTACTAAACTCATATACATATTTCAGGGGCGGATTCAGCCAATTATAAAAGGGGGAGGGGGGTTCCAACTATATGTCCCCATTCAAATGCATTGATCGTCAAAAAAAGGGGGTTCCAATCCCCGGACCACCACCCCGGATCCGACACTGTATTTTTAGAAAATCTCGTCTTGTACCTGTGTATTATGTAGTTCCAATAACCTAAACCCCATTACTACTATTTAACTGTTCCCAAATTCGAATCAGTAATTCAGTTTTAAAGTACAACGGGAAAAAGTAAAAGTAAAAATCAGAGACATGTATGTAATATATATATGTCTCTGGTAAAAGTAATATTCTTTACTTACTTTACTAGCGATACACAATAAACTTCCTGGTCCGTTGTACAGGTGTGCAGTAGTACAAAGTCAAGGTTACATTTAGAAAGTTTAACAGTGATTGATCAGACTGAGTGTAAATTATAAAACGGATAATTTGGTCGGATTAGAGACGTTATACGGTATGTGATGAAAATGCGATTTTCTCTGCACGTTAATATAATAAACAACTATTGCAACAACTCTTTGTGCATCCGTTAGTGGACGACCACTTGATATTCCGGGGGGGGGGGGGGGGGGGGGTGGGGGGGGGGGGGGGGAGGGAGGAGGAGGTATTTTGCGGATCGTCTTATTCATTTTTAGACTCTAAATTGATTCCTCGTAGTTATTTATAGTATAGTATAGTATAGTTTTATTCAGGCAAATTCAAGCACATATACAAAAATTCACAAGACAAGACAATAATATATATATATACTTTTAAAATATTATCATAATATATTTTAAAAACAGTGCTTAGAAAAAAGCCTGGGATATCCCATAAAAGCTTACATAGTATAGCTTATTTCCAATGAGGTTCCTTGTTTGAAAATATATAAAAATAATATTTCAATTCGTTGTTAAAATTTGACTTTCAACAAAAAAAAAAGAAAGAAAGATCAAATGTTTCTTAAAAACATATAAAAAATCTCCAGTTTCTATATTTCTTGCTGTTATTTTTAATTGCTCTTTAACTGCAGTCTTAAAAGCAGACCTATTTGATATATTTTTTATGTTGGTTGGTAGATTGTTCCAGTCTTGTATATTATAGACAAAGCTGTTTTTATTACAGTTTTTAATATTTGGTACAAAATAATTATTATATGCAGCACTTCCGGTATTTTTTTTCTTTTTTGTAATGACATTTTTATCGCGGAAAAGTAGATTTTTTTCAACAATTTTTAAACGAATGAACTATTCAGAATAATTTTCTTTTGAATGGCAATATATTTTTTTTTTCAAGCAGAGAATATGGATTTAATTCTATACTCCCACGACCCCATAATGAGGTACGTGGCTGTTATTCTATAGAATGTAAGTATATTTGATCAGTTGATCATTTGATAGCGTAAAAAGTATATATATATATATAGATGTAAAAAGTTAAGAACTGACATGAAGAGAGCTCGAAATCGTGATACATGTACATGTAACACGAAAACGAATATCCATACATGTAGGTAAAAGTAGGATTTTCAATTCAGTGTGAATCAATAAGATTTTCAAAATCCTACACAAGAATGTATGAAAAGTTTTGAATTTTTAAATTCATCTCACATATATGATAATGTCCCTTTATTGTAGCTATAAATTAACAAAACTTAACATTATTTGTTTCGAAAGTTAAAATGCGCGTCAATGACGATTTTTTGTATTTCAGTCTAATATACGGAGGAAAGGATTGCTTCTGTCTTAAACTTATCAAAGATAGAACATTAAAAAATAAATTCTCCAATTGGCAACAACAAACTATCAAATGAATTAAATGTTAAGTACATTATAGTTTACATTTTTATCAAGGAAAATAATGACCTTACACAAGTCATAATTTTATGCTTTAAAGCGTATTTCACTCAAACTTGGTATCGTCTGGGTTGATTCTTCGAAAGAATGACCTATCGTACTGAAAGAAAATAACTCATATAGGTATATAAATAAATGTCATATATTTACGTTTGACAATATCGTTTCCCTGCATTTATTTCGATACACCAAACTGTGTTTTGTTTAAAGCCCCATGTGTAGTATACAACTACTTTGTGTTCGTCGTCTAAATACTCTTTGACGGTATAATATGAACCAGCAGATGCAACCATTCAAACTATTAGAACGATATATTAATGAATGTGATGTTCATTAGAAGATCCTTCATTGTTCGTGGTTTTTATGGTAGATTGAACTTTTAATGTTACCGTTAGAGTACATTTTTATTTTCGTATAGTGTGTCTTTATGACCTTCATAGTTGTTTTAAAACTATTTTAGTTTTGGAGGAACGTTTTTGCTCTTTTAATTAACATGGAACCTTTAACAGATAGTGTATTTTGGCTTATTCAAATTTTAGTTTTTATTACAATTTCTATGATCAGAAAATGACCAGCAAATATGAATATGAACCATGGTGTGTTCTAAACCTACACGCTGATTGGATTATATCTCAGTAAACTGATACATCAAAACACATCCCTGTCCAAAACCATCAATGCTATAAATCACATGTGTAAAATGCTTAGCAAAAATGTATGCCAGTTTTGAAGTCTTTTACCGACTGGATTTTGTAGTCTATAATATTATCTTAAAGTTTGTTATAAATTATAATACATATAAATCACATGCTTTATACATTGGATATTTATATTATATGAAGATTGTTTGTTTTGGTCATCGTCCTTAATTCTTATAGAAAAAGACAGTTTACGTGATATTCACGGATAGAATATTTATTTGTTTTTGAAGACATGCAATGTTACAGAAACCCATGGGGGACCTAAAAAAATAATATTATATCGTTATCTCAATATATATATATCGTTATTTCGATATAATTAGATATAATATTAATTTTTTTTAGGTCCCCTATGGGCTTCCGTACAATGTTGATCACAGATCTTTGATATATTGGGGTGTTGGTCTGGATTGGGTTTACAGAATAGAGAACAATAGCAAAACAAATATAATCTGTATAAAAACAAAACAAAACCACTTCATTGGTACATTAGGCATTCAGTCATACTTCTAAAACTTTGCCAAAGAACACCAAGATTGATCCGATAGGAGGGAAGGATGTGTTGCCATGGACAGTGTAGTCAAAATGGGTGGGGTGGAGGTTATATAACCGGAAGAAAAGTGACATTGGGAACTTTTACAATAATTCGCAAAGTGCTTTATATCAAATCTCGTTTTAGATTGAATATTTCTATTTATTTGTATACTGTTGTTGTCTTGTGAGTTTGAATATCCCTTTGGTATCATCTGCATCTCTTTTAAAAATGTCATGATTTGCCTAACTACAATCTATTTCATATGTTTGATAACTATGATTGTCACTATTCTTCTCACCCTGGATAATTGTTGGTAATAACAATATGTTTTTGTTTCGGTTTAGGCACTTATATATTTTTATTATTTTTATTAAGACATCAAAGTCCACAGAAGAGGTACAGTATTTACGCAACATAAATTTGTAATGTATGATAGAAAAACGAAAGATTTGGGGTATCCATCCATAACACAAAATCAGTACATGCACAGCTAAAAACAAACACAAAAAGCAAAGGAACAGCGCTTTTATTGCTGCTCTGCATCTAAAAGTCACAGTGAGGCCATCAACACGGAGTAAAAATGTCTCATCTCACTGCAAGTTTAAGACGACCCCTAGCACAGGATTGAGCAAGCTACATGTATAGAAAACTAAAGATTTGAATTTAATATTGGAGATTGGTTATCTCCACATCACAAAAGTCACACGAGATCCATTTTCTGTTGGGACATACTTCATAAAACATGAATTAAAAAGATATTTGATAACCAAACATTTGTCTATAAAAGAGGTCAATGTTTGCAAACTTTTCAAATAAATGTTTTATTGGGATTCCTTTTTAATGTTTTACACTTTCTATTTTGTATGTAATGTACATTTTATCGACTTATAACAAACTACATTCATGTTTATTGGTATTTGTTTGATTGTTTATATATTTTCAATATGGAAAGGGGGGGACTACTCAATGGGCACCATTTTTCTTGTAAATGAAAAGGCTATAAAGTGTGTACGAGATTGATCGGTAAGTCTATATAACGTCTTATTGATATGCATTAACGTATAGTGTGCGCAAAGGCTGACAAAATAAGATAAAATGATGGGAATCTGGAATTTTGATTGGAAAATAGTTTGATTGATTGATGGATTGGTTTTTAACGCCACTTTCAGCACTATTGTGCTATTTCGAGGCGGTCGGTTTTTATTAGTGGAGGAGGACGGAGTGCCCGGCTAGTGATACAGTAGCTCGACTACTTATACCACTCGGCCACCAAGGCCCCCTGAAAATAGTTTGATGTTAACACCAAGCGGTCAATATATCTTTCAGGTGTCACGTGATATTTCGTTTAAACACATAGTAAGATACAAATTTACAATCAAGTTAAGTCTTCTGCAATAACTTAATATACGGAAACCATAAAAACTACCGAGCCAACCAGCTTATGCTCTGAAAACAACCCTGATTTTGTAGTTAAATTTGACCGGTATTGAACCGCTTTCGAGTCGAGCAACCTACCTTGATACAAGCTGTGAGACGCCTTTCAAGGAAATACTAATTAAAAAGTATTCTAGATAAGTATAAAAGAGATAAAAGTACTTTCATAATTTTATGAAAATACAATATTATTGTCTAGTTTTATAACACGAGACTGGTTTTCTTCATTAACCCAACGACTCTAGATTTGTAAAGCTGGATGTTGAATTTATACCTTCCTTCACACTGGAATTTAACATGAGACAGGATTAATCGTCTGAAACTACATCACACCAGGAGTCTGATTTTACCCGTGTAGACACTCACTAGACACCTTGGTATTGCTCAAGGTTGATTTTATCTATTCGCTGTACTCCCTACAGTCAGTCATGTAATTGCTTCTAGCTTTCGGTAATTTTACAGGCAGTACGTGTACAATATTTAGACACCAACCATCAATCAATCAATCAATCAATCAATCACGTTTTTCAACTTAGCTTACAAGACAAGAGTAAGTTACATATCTGTATATTCAATCATAACAGAAATTTGCCAAATTGCTCTATGTTGTCTTTCAGTTCAAATATTCAAAGAAAACAAATTTGTGAATTTTATCATTCTGGTTTTGCTTCTCTTTTCCTGCAAATACATTGAGAACAATATTAATTAAACACAAATACAAACCAAGGATCAAATCCTTCCATGCATATTTTAAAAATCTGTGTGCACAGTTAGTTGTCGCCCTTAATATAGATAATATAGATAATTCATTAAACAATTACAAATTAAATTGCT